TATATACGCACAGTATGAGTACCGGCATATGAGGTAGGTATAGTATGGATTAGATAGTTCTCCCATTTCGTTAAAAAGGAAATCATGTACCTTCTTTTTGAAAATAAAGCGGTTTGTGGACATCCTGACTTCGAGCGGGACCGCATGCCAAATTAGTACTGCTTGAACAAAGAACGAAGAGCTCACGAAGTCGGAGTTGTGTGAGAGACATAAGAGAAGCAGATTATTAACTGAACGAAGATTTCTGTCGTTGTTGGTAGACAGGTAACGGTAGTAGCAAGGTAATTAGGTGAGAAATGAACATAGAATTGTAAGTGCACGCTGTTTGCGGCGCAAGCAAATAGGTAACCAGTTTAATTGGGAAAGCAAAGCAGACTCATAGTCATACTTCGGCAGATTGAAAATGTATCGAATGCAGTTATTGAGAAGACGGTCTAGCTTATTAAGAAGGTCTGCATTCAGGTCGAAATAACACACATCACCATAGTCAATTATTAGGATTAATAAGGACTGCATGAGTGTAGTTTTAGGAAGGAATTCTTGAGACGATATACTCGTAATGTTCGCAAAGTGCCGGTTATTTTCTGGCTCACGCGAGTGAATTTACATATTTTTTTCTGTTTACTATTATTAACCAGCTACTTCGGCCCAGTTGGTTAAGTTAACTACAGTTTTAATAATGGAAATTGTAAAACCATGTATCAACTACACTAAAACAGTAAAACAAAAAACATCAAATAAAGGATATAAGTTGTAAACAAAAATTATTAGGCCAAATTTCGGCAATTTTATAAAAAATCTTAAAGTTCAATATCTTGAAAATGGTTAGGTTTGGGATAGGGTATTTCATAGAGAAATCTATCAGAAATGATGGCAATTACAACCCCGTAAAGTATTTAGGTCGACTTACCCCTTACTTAAATATACATATATATAGAGATGAATTATAATCTATGGTTTAATATTATATTTTAATGGTGGCCTGATAGGCAAGAAATTTATGCTTTATAGTAAAATTTAGGAAACCTAGAAAATATATAAGAAAAATTCAACTTCTTGCAAATAATTATAATTTTTTTTTAGTGCTTACAACAACAACAGTTGTAAATGTTGTACCTATATAATGAAATTCTACTGACCGCTCATCTTATTTTAAGTGTAACCTGTAGATAGCTTTGAAGAATTAGTCGATCGTGAGCGTTGAGTCGTGTCGTGCTAATGGCACGATGCCGTCGTGACCAACTGCTCTGAACTTTTGTCTATGGGATCCGTCTGAATGAAGATTTTGACAGCTCTAACGGCACCGGTGACCCGTCACACTTGAAAAACTCAATTCGGCACAGATAATACTGTAAAATTTAAAATCGAATTCTGGAAAGGAATTCGATTTTCAAATGCAGTGTAGTTTACCTTGTGATGTGGTTAAACGCTAGATGAACCATTAAGTGGGTTTACAGCGCAAGGAAATCACGATAGTATGTGAACTAACAATTTTTTACTCAGTGAGTAATAGTTATTTAAATTGTTTTAGATAGATATGAAATGAGAAATAGTTTCTCTATTGTTCGTAATATATAAAATAAAACATAAACTGTTCTAGCTTACTACTTTCAAGCACGATCGTCACGTTAACCTATTTTTTTTGCTTAGGGCTACCAAAAAATATAAGATCATATCATTGATAAAACACCTCGAAGGTACTCGTACTATAAGATCACAAGAGGTAGGTATTTAAAACAAGCCTGTGGTGAAAGAGGTTAGTTCTTTTTAAAACAAAAACAAAATTAGATGAATATATAAATATAATAAAAATTGTTTCTTATGAAGCAAACTTCATTAGTAATGAATTTTATATTTTTTTCATATTTTTTATCGTCGATCACAATAAGATAATAGTTATTAAAATGGTAACCCTACCTGAGAATCACTATTGAGCAGTTAACAGAGCAGCAAACACGTCAGATTCGACGAATTCACTCACGATCTACCATGATCCACATCATTACCAATGCATAAACAAAGTTTTTTTTTCAAGATAGCTTCAGTATAACATTTCTACATTGAATCAGAAGTCGAATTTAGTTATTTAAAAAAAAACTGTAATAAACATAACATTTCAAACTTTTCATTGAAAATACATAAGAACCGATTGATTTACAAGTCTGATTGCTGGAGCCTTTGCTACACGTGTAACATGTGACGTTGGCTGAAGGATGCTTATCATAAAGACGAAAGGTTGTGAGTATGTGTGTTTGTATGTTTGTTACTTCTTAGCGCTCAAACGGCTGGAACAATTTTGGTATGGACGTTACCTTTTTTTTTTACGGCTTTTATCCTGAAAAATGTAGTGTTCCTGTGGAATGAGTACATGAGTTAAATGTAACACGTTTCAGTGTCATAGTTATCAGGTGGAGTAATAAAAAATAAATAAATAGAGGGGACCACTATCGGGGAGGGATTCTAAGTGCGGCAACGCTCTTGTTACCATCAGGCGACCCGTCTACTCGTTTTATGGTATAAGACCAAAAAAAAATAGACTGCAACGATTTCTGATTTGAAAGTTGAATCACTCTGATCAAACTTTGTAAAAGTATACCATAGAGTATTTATGCGAATAATGTTACCCAAAGAGGGCGTACCCAAATACGACTAAGATCAAGATGGTTTTCACCGTTAATAAGTAAAAACTACATCTCGTGAACGGAGATTACGGCACGATTACTTGAAGAAACAATAAAAAATGTAATAGCGGACACGTTTCCATGACAAGGTAAAAAAAGAGTATTCTCTACATTTTCTATGATCTCTGTAAGATGTTTGTGTTTATCTTATCATGAACATTTATCACGCATTCAACGTTTTCTTGCCATTATCACACCAAAGAGTTAACCAGCCTAGAAAGTGGTCACTGTGACCTTCAGATCTTAGCGACACTGAGGTTTCGAGGAGGATCTGGGACATTTTACCACTATTTTTAAAGAACTAAATTCTATGCATAAGTTGCCATCTATTCACTCTGTTTCACAACATCTTCTTAGTTCGTTTTAGAGATTCATACTTATTCGCAATTAAGTAAGAAGTGCGATGTGGGCGGAGCTTAAAATCACAAATAATAAAAACACGTGTAAAATGTTTATTTTATATTTACTCTCTCAGGAAATATCTGGGAATCGGTGGGTGAAGTAACAATAATTATAATTTTGACGAATGCCACGATAATTTCATATCATAAAATAAGTAAGGCCTGAACACTGTAAAGGCATATATTTAGTAAAATCATAAATGGCATTTTATGCTCTTATTGAATAAATCCTTTGTGTGTGAATAAATAATTCTATCCTCCAGGTATGAGCAACTGGCACAAACGATTTAGCGATTTTGAGCAGAATACATAGCACTTCTAATAATGTATTCCGCGTTTTAGCTACTAACTAAAACATAACGGATCAAACTTTATCAACTCTTTTTTTTTTTGTTTGTGCCTATCAAATATAGTTATATTTGATACCCACAAACAAGAAAAAATGAGTACATAAGTCGGTTAACAATTTCGAAGATATCGAAAAACATACAGACCAAAAATTCAGTCGAGTTTTTTTTTATGTTAGAGGGGGCAGACGAGCAGACTGGTCACCAGATTTAAAGTGACCATCGCCGCCCATGAACATCTGCAACTCAGGAGTCACAAACGCGTTGCCGGCCTTTTAGGAAGGTCGTAGGACTTGAGAATATTGTGCCATATCGTTTATTAGTTTTATTTCATTTTCATTAATAATACTGCAACTTAAAACCTTCTAGTACCTATAATTACTATTCTACGGAGCCGCGGGATGACTTCCGTTGCGTTTACAATACTAAAGCTCTAAAACATTTATATTACAGTACATAATATTACTAACATCAAGTTTTTTTGCAAATAATTATTATGAAATTAATTTAACGATTTTTTATTAGATTATTTACACTAAAACGAGTCCCGTTTAAATTATAATATCTACTCTCGGAATTGGTACTTCCACATTTTAATCATAAATATTACTTTCACACGTCACACGTTGTTTTTAGGGTTCTATGCGGAAGGATCGGAACCTATGCACGTAATTTATATTTAATATGCATGTATTTAGAAATATTTAAGTATGTTTATTAGCAGTCTGGTTACCATAACAGATCAGACGGACAGATAGTGTGAGATCAGACGGTCGTGTATGTCTGAAGTTATTATTATTTTTTGTTGTCGTTAAACAAAAGTATATTTTCAAATTATAATTGCATTTTTCTGGACAGGATAATGAGGTGCTTTATGTTTGGAGATGAAAGTAGATATAATCAAGTTAAATAATAAAACGTTGTTTCAAGGGATTGTTTGTTTGGCAACTGCCGTTAACTAATTTTTAAGTCAATTAATGACCTGCTAAGCTAAGCCAGTCTTAGCCTCTACAGAAGTTATATTATTTTACTAGTTGATATGGACACAACACAATAAAAAAACTTGTTTATTCGAGTTAACTGAAACCACAGATTAATCAATAACACTTATATAAGCTTTATAAAATATTAAAGCGCACAGCAAGCAGATCGTATCTTTACCAGTAAATAAAGTTTAAGGGACTGTAATGTTGGGATGTTAGTTTTTTACTTAGATCAAAAAACAATGTTTAAATTATTTCTCTATCTGTTTGTCTGTATGTTTGTTTCGGGTAATCTTCGGAGCGGCTTGAACGATTCCACATTTTACTAGCAGATGACTAGTATTATAAGAAGTAAATTAGGCTGGTTTTATTTAAAAAAATAGGTAGATTATCGCCTAAAAATAGAGGCAAATGGCAAGCCAACACACCACTACACCATAAATTTATCTATGAAACGCAAGAGAGTAACTAAGTACACCATATATCGTTTGTTACAGCCCCGAACTGCTACTAGAGCACAGAGAGTATACTCGTGGTATGTAAAACTAGGTAACCAAACTTATATTAAAAATATTCAATAACACTGACCTTTTTCAACCAAGCTGGATCAGGTAACGGTAGATCGGGGAAAGCCCTTTTCCTCTCAACGTAGTACCAGGGCGCTCGCACGTAGTAGTACCATGAGATCACGCGCTCCACAGGGTCGCGTACCACATTGACATATATAGGTGATGGATACCCGTACCTGGATTAAAAAATATAAATGTGACATTTATATATATAAAGTTACTTGCCCTGACCGACAGATTTATCAACGCAGAGCCTCAACCGCATGGGACTATAAACTTCAATTTTTGGCAGCTGATGCTTTTTATGTCGTAAGCACCCACTAAGAAAGAAGTTTTGGAAATGAGGTATGAATGGTTGTATGGAAGCTCGTAATTTTCAAAGTTACAAACATGAAATAGTCAAGCAAGCGAAGTCGCAGGCAATAGCTAGAATAGCTAGTATAATAATGATATTCATTTCGAGTTATTTAAACTTAGCCTATGTTCGTATTAAGGTATAATAATTGCAAAAAAAGATGCATGTAGCCGAAATCATCGAGTCATATATGGACAGTCCATTCTGTCGGCTGTCATGGCAGGGCCCTGTTGGAGCTGCCCCTTACCCGCGACAAGAATGATGCTGCTCGTTTGTGTATCGTGAAGTAAAAGCAGTCAACTCTTGCCTCTGCAAACATTTCTGAGGCACAGCATTGCCAGAGCCGCCCCATTAATCTCCTAAAGGCATTTATATATTGGACCTGGAGGGCCCCTCGTAATGTCAACGAATAATTCGCCCACAAGCTGCACGTGTAAAAAGTTGTACAATAAGCTTTAAACAGGATAACTTTTAACTTAGTGGTACAGTGTGCTCGTACAAACCTGCGAGCTATCACATTCGCCCCCTCCAATAGAGCCCTCCGTTCCCTCTCAATATCGGTGTTATCTTTAAGATCGGAGGTAACCATATGACCCAGATATTTAAAATGTTTCTCTCGCCCTAAGGATAGTCCGTATAGGTGAACATCAAGACAACCTTTATTCCCCGCCCTAAATACCATGTATTGACTTTTGTTCACATTGTAAACAAGCCCGTGATCTTTTGCAAATTGTTCTCAAGTTGGCAATAAGAACCAATAAGAACCTCAGTCGCACCATGTCGTCAGCATAAGAGAGATTATTGACACACACACACACATCGTCTATATAGCAACGTGCTGATTGCTGAGTCCCTCACTGAAGGTGTAAAAAAGTAAAAAAGTATTTGAAATGGGATGGATATTCGAGTAGCCTACTTTAATTTGAGTAGAGCTTACTATAATAAAGCAAGTGTTATAATTTTCAATTTCAATGGTATTATTTCACTAGGCTGATTTCTAATAACAGTTATGCCCATGAATTTAGAACTCATTTAAAATCTTTAGAAGCGCAGAAACGCATCGTCCCGCTCTCATTCCAATTTAAACGATGAGCTAAACAATTGTTCGAGTTAGGGCTGCCACGAGCTTGCAGTTCGATTTCAGAATAACTAGATTGCTCAGAAATTTCACATGATGACCAGATTATACATAATTTAACGACACCTGTAACAAAGATCTGATGTCAATTTCTAACCTGCGCGGTTTTTATTTATAAGAAACCTGTGACAATTTCGTGTACAAGTTGTCTGGGGTACAGAAAGGTTTCTTCCCGGCAAAAGTACATTATAAAAGTAAATCGCTTTCGAAAGCCAATTTCCATTATTTTCTAATGGTAGGTAATGTGAGGCGAGATATTTTTTATTATTAAACAAAACTAATGTCTAAAAACAAAAAAAAAAGTTGTTGTAAAAGTTACACGTTCAAACAAAGTTCAAAGTTAACAAGTATTCCGTGTGGTGACGGATTAAGAATACAGAGTGTCACCACCCCTATTCATCCCGTGGGCGTCGTAAGAGCCGACTAAGGGAGAAAACTACGCAGAACAATAGCACTGCAGAGAGAAGGAAATCTTGACACAAACTCTATACCAACCCGTCTGGCCAGCGTGGTATAGTAGGCCGTTTTGGCCTACTATACCACGCTGGCCAGACGGCCAGACGACTTTCTAAGGAGAGGATTACGTAAAGCAATGGATAGTCCACTCCTTAGAAAAGGCTGTTGATGATGATGATGAACAAATATTCAATTTTCCTATCTGACAACCCTAAATAGGACTCATCAATATAGTTTTTGCACGTGCTTGTGTTGTGTAATTACTTTAACAAGAGAGTCACCTATCGTATAATAGCGGTCGACTCACCAATTAATGTCAAAGCAATTCATTAATCATGTTATATGTTTACGGCCAATATTGATGCACATTTGATTGATGCTTGAGAGTAGGCGGTTTCTTTCTTATTTGAAAATAGAACAGCACCTCGATATTAACATTTTTTTTTGTCGTAGATTTGAGCTTGGTCCGAGGTTGTTCATTTAGCGCCAGGCTACCGTTATTTAAAATTTGAATTAAATGAGATCATCCTCAAACGGCAATTGTTTTAATGTTTCTTATTTTTTGGTTCATTGCTTTTTTTTTCTATTACTATAGACAAAGGGGTCTTCGTGAACTTTTTTTTATCTCTTTTATCATGCCTTTCATATGAAGTATTTTCATTGAGGGAATATATTTATACACATGAAACATGTAATTTTAATAAGGGTCTTAGGAGACATCATTGCGAAGCTCAATACTTCAACGCTGTTGGTAGAATACATGGCTGTTCATTCATTGACATAGACGGACATTGAAATTAACAAATTATGTGAAAACTTTTACATTAACCTCTAATCATCAGTATTAATCTACCATAGTACGTTAGTTTAATACCTTAATTTTTGTTTTAATGTAGCAGGAATATTGTACCTGTACACTTAAAACGTTACTAGTTATAGTTTCACAGATAGTTTGTTCAATGAAGTAGGTACCTATTTATTATTTTCATGTTTTATTTCACATACGTTTACTTAACCAACCAATAAATTGCCCATTCCTGTTAAATTGCTAAACCTATAGGTCGATGTAATCAAAACAGTACGAAATGATGTTAGTTGTTTATTTTCGATTCCCTTCATTACATAGTACCCTGTTCCCTGACATTGTCGCTCCTGGCGTTTTCTGGTTCCCACGTCTACTATTTTAAACAAAAATAACAAAACCCTTGATCATCCACTCTATTACAACTTACTGGAACATCACAAGAAAATTGGATCTTGCATAATTTGCATAACTTGCTTAGCGCTGTTTAGTATTAGTAAGTTACAATTTCATGTTTTATAACATAAACCATTATTTAGATACATTTATTAAATGATATCATCTTCTTAAGAAACATGTATACATTACAGCAAATAACGACATAAAAATATATCAAGGGCTTTATATGGCATTTACAAGTGTTTAATGCAAAAAGATTGCAACTTTTATTTATGATCAACATTTTTTTTTATCAGATTCTGCTCGTTTAAGAAACAGTAGGATTTTTTTACTAGTATTAGGCACATGACTTGATATAGTGCAATTTGACGTCAAGTGAAATGATCACGAATATACGTGTTAAATTGAAATATTATATGATTTAGGCGATTTAAAATCAATTACTCAAACTTCGTAAGATCTTATTCTGGGTTAAAGTAGCAGTAATATGACAGTTAAAAATATTTTATGTTTGACTAGCGGTTGAATATATTAATCCGTAGGAGCACACCGGTATGTAGGTACCTAGGAGTCTTTCAGCATATCCATATGTGTAATAAATGTTAATTATTACACTTGTGGCATAGGTATATATCGACGACGGTGCATCGAAATCTATAATGTTGTGTCTTGTGCCTTGGAGATGTAGGTTTTATTGCACGTTACTCTTTGAATCTATTTGCGAATACCTGTGAATTGATCGTTGTTACATTATTTTAATATTTACATTACGTTATTTATGGTTGGTATTCCGAATAAAATAAGTAGCCTAATCCTACGTGCATTAAAACCCCTCTAATTCGTAATATTAAGTCCTAAGGCCCGTCTATGTCAAGGATAAATAAGTAAAAATCCATGTATAAATACTAATATTTGTAACTACTTGCCTGTGTGTTGGTACTAGATCTGGCAGTTACTAGCTGCTCATAATCATAAAATATCCTGCTGTTAAGTCAGTACATCACCGACTAAACGAATTTGGATGTTAACTTAATAAACATTGTATTCTTAATTAGCAAATACAAATTAACATCTTTTATAATCATTACAATTTAACAACAACAAAAACTAATTAACATCTATGATACCTTTTAGCGTCATTTTAGTATGAAGTTGCGCTAATCATCGCTATAAATTAATAAATAAATGATTACCTGGTGAAGTTGGTATAACAAACATGTTTTATGTAGGAGGCAGGTGGTGTATATGCAGACACAAGACCAGCAAGTATTTGTTGATCGACCGGCGCCAAGCGAATCGTCTCCACCCGCTGGACTGCATCTCGGTTGAACCCTGAGCCATTAAACTTTCTTTTAATAATCCACTAAAAACTATTAATAAAATTAGGAGATAATATCACAGAGACCACGGATTCGCTCCAAATCCGCTGATCCAAAAGGCAGAAAGAAAAGGAGATCGTTGTCTTGTTGTAACTTTTTTGCCCATGCTACCCAGGCTGCTTTATTGTTGAGACAATTGATCTCAACGACACAAATGGAACAGACGCTGACATATATTTCCCTCTAATGAAAGATTGTTTATCTGTGAAGGTAGTTTTGGCAAGAAAGTAACCGTTGGCTGCACAACTTAATTAAAATGAAGCGTCTGTGTTTAAGGTCGTAATAACCGAGATTTTAACAACAAAAAAAAAATCTTGAGTTTCAATTTCAAGAATTTTAATTATATTTTTTAGTTCGTTAAAAATCTTTTCACACAGTACTTTTTCAAAATTTTAAGGTATACAAACTTATTTTGCTGCGAATATAAATGTTGTTGTAAATATATAATACATTTTAATTATTTCTACATTTGGAATGACCTGACTTGCACTTCAACGCGCCTTGATCATGAAAAAGATTAAAAAAAAAACGGAAAGAGAAAGTAAAAAACATTAACGAGTGTTATTTAGATATCCATATTTGGGTGTTGGTCATTAAGACAAGTAAGTCTCCTTAAAAAAATGTTCTTGTGGACTTTAAAGATACCGCATCACTTTGTAGACGTATCAACAAAAAGCGACCCGTATTTGATAGTCCTGTCCTACATAACATAGGGGAGAAAGGGGAAATCAAACCTTTAAGCGAATGTGAACTAATCTCGTTTAAATGTATCTAAATAATTAAGATAACCTTCTGCTAAAATAAGTAACGATAAACTCGCGACATACTTTGTGAATAGTCGTATTTTAGACCTACGTACCCACAAACACCGCACGACGACTTGCTTGAGAGTCTTGTATAATTCTTTTCTAAATTTATAGATAATATTTCAATAAACGGTTAATATAGTTTAGAATATCTTGTAGCTAGTATAAATAGAGAACGGAACGGAGAATCATGATAGACAATAATTTATCATAAAATTAAAATCAAAACTAAAATAAATCAAATTAGTCTCTTTAAATTATAAAGAGATTAGTTTACATTTATTCACAATTTTAAGTTCTAATTGTTAAAAAACTTTTAAGATTAATTATCTTCTATTGTTATCTTAAATCTCCATTACTGGGTACGGAAAATGAATAAAAGATAATGAATTAATCACAACTTTCAAAACACTACATTATATTAAATGCCATTTTATACACAAACTTATTTGAGTTATAAGGGGCTTATTGCTCCGTGGTCCCCAACCAACGGTGGTTATAATTAAAACTTTTAATGAAGTTGATTGATAATTAAGGTGTAATTTCGCTAAAAGTCTCCTAAAACATATCCTATCAAGATAATGAATATAAATAGAATTATAAATAAATAGTGCTTTTATCGCTTAATGTTTCGCTATAAAATATCTTGGCAATCTTAGTAATCACTATTATTCGTACAGTGTTGAATGTTTACGACAATGCTTTTGCAAAATTAAAATGGCATTAATAAAAAAGTGGGTGGGCAGGTTCCTTTTATATAAAATGGCATTTTATCATATGCAACAAGTATTGTTTTTATTACTATTAAGGCCACATTTTTATTGGCTTTTTAGTCAATTTATAGATTTTAACAAAAAAAAAATGAAAAAATGAAATAAAAATTAATGAATTTTCCGCGAGCAAATTCCAATGATTTTCGATCGATCGAATGATGTTCTGAGTACACTATTTCAGTATTCATTACGACGTCCCTTACACTCTGTATAATTTATTGAAATATTGACAGAGGGGGTTTGAATCAAATCAGCCTTTTCTTTACAAGGTTCATGTTTATAAACCTTTATTGTGTTCAGCGCAAGTTTCAAATAGTGTATAGTTATCGTTAACATTCTACAAGGCGCAGACTTTCTTTAAATTTATAACAATAAAAGGTGATTGCTCAGGCTAGAATAAGCAATAAATATGTAACAAAGTGAAGTAATCATAATGTAATTACCATTAAACTTGTATGTAACCAAAGTCTAAATATCACTTCCTCGAAATTGTGACTTCGCAGATCCAATGGTTAATGAGTTACATTATAATCTTAAATTTTACCCTAAAGGTTGAAAAAAGTTAGGAACAGAAAAATACAGTAAGTAGACGTAGGCGCCTAAAATCACATTTTTGAAGTAAATTACTTTTCTCCACTCCGAACAACAAATTTAAAGATGATCGATTGAGAAGGTAAGATGAAACAACTCATTCGTATTTATAATTTACTGGCTATCTTCAATCGACTAGCCTGTTTGTATAGTGGTTAGTGATCCTGAAGCCTCAGCCAGAGGTCGTGGGATCGATACCCACCCAGGACATACAATTCTATGACCACTATTATTTTGTATAATATGTATGAATTAAGAAATACATATATTAGTATGTCTATCATTGGGTCGGTTAACATAGCACAGACTGTCTACTTTATTATTGTAAGTTTTCTTTCTCAAATAACATGTAAAGTGGTTTACGAGATGAATTATAAAAAAACATCACCTTTCCGTACTAATATTAGTCTCAGATATTTAAATCTTACTTACTGAACTGATTCCTGATAGCTAATCTTCTAAGCAACTCCATGAATGTCTGACTGCCGACCTTTGGCACCCTGTTGAAGAAGAGTACATCGGTACCGGCACGCGCAGTATTGTTTAACTCCCATGGATCCGGAATCAGAAGTTCATCTAAGTAATCTTGTTCTTCTTCTATCTGCTGGGAGTCTTCTGGCTCAGCTTCTAATGTTCGCTGAGGTTTGCTGCGCTCCTGATGAATAAAATTTTAGAGTCATTTTATAAAAATCTTAAGTATATAAATATTCGAAAACTTTGAAGATCTTTGTCAGAGAGTATGTACTGTTTCATCTGCTAATTGTCCAAGTTCACTAGCTCTTTAGTATTGGGGGAGCAGGGTATCAAATGCATCGATGATTCCTGTGGTATACCCAGTACACTCTTAGACGTCTTAGTTGCATATTAAATAAGAACGGAAGTTTATGGCGGCCTACTATGCCATGGCCTGGCGGGTTGGAGTTTCGGTTTGAAATTTTTATTTTCTGTGCTAGCTCCATTGGCGAATGTGTTGATTGAAGAAGGTCTTCTTTACAGACACTAAAGTACAGTACTGACCTAAAATATCCTGCAGATTGAATGTCAGCTCTACGACATTTTTAAAACACGGTACTATATTTTTTTGGTCAATATCATGGATGGATGGAGCTAATATACGAGGACGTAAAGATCAAATTATTTTGTTTTAAGGTATTTATTTTTTAACCGACTTCAAAAACACAAAAGAGGAGGTTATCAATTCGTCTGCATTTTTTTTAATGTTTGTTACGCGATATCTAAGTCAATTGTGGACTGATTTTAAAAATTATTTTTGTATTGTATGTATTGTATGCTTCCGAGGTGGTCCCATTACCAACAAATCAGAATCTCATGATGAGATCCTAGAGAAATCGAGGGAAACCCTTAAATTTTATAGCCCTGGCAACGTGTTTTGCTTATTTCTCTAGCTTTATATTTATTTGCGCTTATTAGTCATTATGTCATGTTGCCTGAGCTGATGATGGAAGGATTCTTGACCTTTAGGAGTTAGAAAATAACTATTTCAAAAATCTAATCATGTATTAACCTTGTTTTATTCTTTCTGGATATTTGTTAGGTGTTTGTGTGGGGTTACAGATGTGCACAAAAGAGATCTTCTTAAGTTCTTCGAAAGAACTTTTGTATATGAGATTGCAAAACATTTAGACAAAAAAAAAATTGTTACCTCAAAACTCTTTCATTTGTTAACCGATTATGAAAATTATTTTTTTATTTGGAAGGGTATATTTCCCGTTTGGTTCCAATTAAATGTGAAGAAAAAATACCACTCCTAGTTTTGGAAAATTAAGTAATGTGGATAACAATATATTTTCGGGTGCAAATGTAACATCTTACTACCTTATCTAAATAAAGTAACGGACTTATTAAACTATATTTAATATAATCTAACCTACTACTTTGATTGGTACTATACATTACGGTACGTAGTGTTTTAAATATCGTACTTATCTACTCATTACACTAAAAATTGTAAAATAAATCATTTTATTAAAAAAAGTTGAACCGACTTCAAACAATACAATAGCAATAGACCCTTTTAGTCTGTTTGAAGTCGGTGCCACGTAAAGTGGGCGAGTGGATTTTCATGTAAAGACGTTCTCTTGATTAAGTTCTCCGTTTGCGTATTAAATATAAGTATTCTCCTCGCTTCCCTGTAGAAGCTTAACTGTTAGCTATTTTTTTTGGCGGAAAGTATGTTTAAAACATCATCATGAAATTTCCATAGCATCGACGTTACTAGGGTCACAGGAAATAACATTTACCCTGTGATCTACAAAATTTACTGTTTCCGAGAGAGAAAGTTCAAGTTACTTTTACCCAAACGAAGCCGCAAGCGAAAGCTAGTAAATCATAACTTTGTTGCATACTTAGATATAGTAGCTAATTCCAATGTAATTAAACACGTGTATAAATTGTACACCCATAGAGTAGTGATGGGTAAACTATTACACAACATATTAAGTAATAAATGAGGTAGGTTAATCCTTCGTGAATACCGACATTTTGTACATAGTTTACAGTTATTTATGGATAAACTTAAAACTGTGTTGGCATGTTACATAAGACTCACGTGTATCCGTTTCGTCACTGAATATATATGGGTCTACGAATAAACGTAATCAAAACCAGCAATGGTAACCGGACTGTATATTTCGTCCGCATACGGTCTCATCAGGAACCAGGTAGGATATTTTATAATCAGAACTTACATATCAGTTACTCAGCCTATTAGGAGTTGTGTTCAGTCCTGATTTTCTTACTGCGTTTGAAAGGAATAATTTTTTAAGGTTTTATAAAATATATTATAAACAAAGAAATGAGAGTTATAAATAAAGACGTTAGAAAAATATTGTGCTTACTTACGGTGTCGTTATTCTTACAGTTTTACTTGGAGAATTGTAGGAAAGGTACAGATTGTGATCACGAAAGCTAAAATTTACTAGTGTAAAGATGTCTTTAGCGTAACATGTCATACGAGTAGTACTTCACGGTGTCATTGAGCATTTACCGGGCAGTAAATCATGATAAGTTGTAATAATATCACGATTAAATCTTGTTTTTATGGTACTATAGAAACGGAGTTGTGGGCAAAGTAAAATGTTGACTACAATATATTTATGTGGGACTAATTTATACTGGGATTTTTTGTATGATACAAGATTAATTAAAGTTCATATGTGAAAAGCTTCTTGTATTTTAGCTAGGAACGTGTTTATGGCCTGCGCTAAGCGGCGGACCGCAGCACGAGGGAAAACGCAACTCCAGAGTGCACCCTTGTTCGGCTACGGAACGGAAGAAGGGTGAGGCGGATGACACAAGCGGGGACATACTCTGCCTGCAGACTCGCCTCGACATGGTGAATGTATTCGAGCGAGTCCAGAAATCAAAATCCGTCGTCATGAAACTCTCGACTGCGAGTCGCTAGTGGAATGGACGATGGCATCCGTGGTTTGTGCTAAGCTTTTTTTGCTCCCGAGGCCCGCTACCCCAGCGCATATTGGTGGACTGCAGTGTATATCATTGCATGCCGTTGGATACCGACGCCTTCCGCCCCGGTATCCTCTAACGCGCTCTTTAATGCCGCAGAGACAAATCCTTTACTATGCTCCGAGGTTAGGCTCAGAGCATTAAAATTAATACCTTATTTTAAATTGAAGTAGTAGAAAATATTCATTGATAAATTTAATATCCTTTACCGTTCCGTCCGCAGGCCTTTAGAATCCTATATTACTAATCAATAAAACTATAATTTATTGTATACAGCCTTGGATGATGTTTTACCGCCCTTTTATTGTCTGGATTGTAGGATACACAACAATAAATAAATTGAAATGGTGGTACTTACAGCGCCAGTGTGTTTTCTTATCGCCTCGAGAGCTTCTTTGTACTCTTGCGCAGATGCATACGCATGCTCCGACCGATCAGTTGGTATTCCTAATAAAAAAAACAACATTGTTAGAACGAACCCGTTGATGGTTTTTTTGTATGGGCAACAGACAGTTATATCAATATTGCATAATAACGATAATAAGGTCGGTTTAATGGTTGTGGCATCATAACCGTTTAATTGCTGGCATTCTATATATGGGGTCTACCAATAAGAACGTCCTGGTTTAAAAATTGAATAAAACACAATTTTTTATGAAAAATGCATCCGATTGATTTATTTGATAGGTAATTTTATGCAATTTATATTTTAAATAATATATCGGCCAAATGACCGCCGCGGCTCTTTTTGCAGACGGTCACCCGCTCCCGCCAATTTTCGATGACGCGGTGCACCATTTCGGCCGGTATGTCGGCTATGGCTCGTCGAATGTTGGTTTTTTAGGTCACGAATTGTAGCTGGATTTTTGCTGTACACTTTAGATTTAACGTAACCCCAAAGAAAATAGTCTAAAGATGTTAATCCGATCGACTTATTTAATAGATAATTTTATGCAATTTATGTTGTAAATAATATATCGGCCAAATGACCGCCGCGGCTCTTTTTGCAGACGGTCACCCGCTCACGCCAATTTTCGGTGACGCGGTGCACCATTTCGGCCGGTATGTCGGCTATGGTTCGTCGAATGTTGGTTTTTAGGTCACGAATTGCAGCTGGATTATTGCTGTAGACTTTAGATTTAACGTAGCCCCAAAGAAAATAGTCTAAAGGTGTTAAACGATCACACGATGACACGATCTTGGTGGCCAACTGATCGGTCCATTTCTCTAAATTATTTATTTATTTATTTTTATTTTTTAACTTTTTGCACAAGTACATGCATCGGCGGACTTAATGCCTAAGGCATTCTCTGCCAGTCGACCGATTGGGCGGTGCTGAGAAAGAATGAGGTAGGTGCATTTATGGTAGGGTATAAACGATAGTGGTTTTGTTAAATACCAACTATCTTGGAATTTGGTGTATACGTCGTAATACCACACACATACACATATATATACATATACATACTCATAAATATATACATATATATATATATATATATACATACACATACACATATATATATGAGAAAAAAAAAAATTGCCGATGAACTAGGAGCTCGTTGAATCTGCCATTTTGCTCAGCAATAGCTCTTTCACTTAATTCATTAACGACTCACCAAACTTTCCACGCAATAATTCCATGTTCACTCGAGTAATGTGAGGTCGTGCACCGTCTTGTTAAAAAATAAAGGTCGTCTGCATCAATATCATCAAATTCCGGAAATAAATATTCAGTAGCAGGGTTTCCTTCGTCACTTTCAAAGAAATACGGACCAATGATTCCACCGTACTATAAACCGCACCAAACTGTTATATTTTGCTGATGCAATGGTGATTCATGAACCACACGTGGATTTGACTCACTCCGATAGCGACAATTTTGTTTATTAACCAGCCAGAAATGGGCCTCATCTGAGAAGATGATTTTACGATCAAAATCGTCATCGGCTTCCATCATTTCCAGTGCATAATCGGCAAATTCACGACGGATACAATGGTCGGATGGCTTCAATTCTTGTGCCAAAACAATTTTGTATGGGTGTAGGCCCAAATCCAACCGCAAAATACGCCAGGTGGTCATTGGAGAGAGCCCCAACTCTTGTGAATGGCGTTGAACTGATCGATTTGAAATCGCATCAACACTGGCCTGAACGGCTGCGATATTCTCTTCACTACGGGCATTTCTTTGTCTCACAGGCACAGCAGTATCGTGGAGAGTGAATTCACTTTCAAATTGTGTTATTATACGATTATTAGCGCGCACAGAAGGAGCACTATGACGACCGTTTTTTGCGCGAAGCGCTCTTACTGTAGCGGTAGGAGAACGCGAATTTGCGTAATAATTTTGGACAATTTCCAAGCGTTGGTTTAAAGTGAAACGTGACATGATAAAATGGCAAACCTTACTGAACACAAATGTCAAGAGACGTCAAACATGGCCGTTATGAGCTGTCAAAACCAGGTCATCCCTATTGGTAGACCCAGTATATATCTATATTATTATCTTCTTTTATTTTTTACAGAAATCTTGTATTTTACACGTATTATGTTATCACGTCAGGAGTGCCGATTGGGGTTCGAACCCCGTAAACTTTCGATAATGATAAGAGAGCCATGGAGTTACTACGCTTCGTATGTTTTTCTGGTAGTGGAATGGAAATAATTGAACTCATCTTTATTAAATATATAAATGTAAACAATTTGTCTTCTGAAATACGATCTAAAACACTGATGGTCAAATAACTATTACTACTAAATTATAACATGTTGTTTATACTTGTTCTTCTAGAATTCACTTTTAAGTGACAATAAAACAGCACTTACTTAGACAGCACAGCAACAGGTACTTAGAATTAACTACGCATTATAATTCAAATTTAGCCAGAATTAATACTGGAATTTACAATGCCCTACTTAAATGAATTAGTGTGGATAGACTGAATTTAATAAACTAGCTTTCAAGTTTACAATATAAAAGGTAATGTTGATGTATTGTAATACATAATCGACAGACGAGACCGTGAATGTATATGGCAAAACAACGTTTGCCGGGTCAGCTAGTTATTTAATAAAAAGACTCTCCCCATATATTTATATAATATATATAATATCTCGTAAAATAGTAAATGTCTATATTTCTTAACGAGAGTAATCAGTAAGTAAGCTGGGATTAGCACACGTTTTTAGGTCAGATGGAAAACATGTGACCATGTGATTTTGTGTAACATTTGACCTGTTGAGGCAAATAGGGCATTTCTTGTGCAAAAGAAATGTATGCGAGCACTATCCAACTTACAGCAAACCGATAGTTGCAAAGAGCATTTTAAGAAATACAACATACTACCTCTACCTAGTCTGTACATTTATGAGATTTGTGTTTTTGTGCACAAACATCAACGGCTATTTTGTAAACATAACGACGCTGTCGCCAGGTCAAGCAGAAACACACATAAACTCTTAGTTCCCAGACAAAGAATAAGTATGTATAGTAGGAATGTATACTGTATGGCTATACATATTTATAACAAGCTACCAAATAGATTTAAGGAAGACACCATTAATGTTTTTAAAAGAAAATTATTTACGTTGCTCTTAGATAAATGTTTCTACAGTGTTAAAGAATTTTTTGACGATGAGAAATTGTGACATAATTATTACTATATTACTAAATAATGCATGATTAAATTGTAAAAAAAAAACAGTAAATTCAGTATATTAACATTTTGTTCACCAGATAATGGTAGAATGTGGCTAGCATCTAAAACGAACCTACTAACAACTCTGTAAACCCATATTCTGACAAATAAATATATTATTATTATTATTATTATTATATTACTACACAGCATATTATTACACAGCACTTCGAATGTTTGTCAAAGACAACATAATATTTTATATTATTCAAGAAATATATCCATTGGACTTATATTTCTCATACATGGATTTACGCTCATGTGGAGTATGATGAGTAGACATGCAAAAAAAAAATTGTTTCAGAGATTATAATAGCTTCTAAATGCGCCAATCTGTCAAATACTTCTTCTCAATCTTCACAAAGTTTTTCCTGTACAAACCTTATGTCAGTATTATTTTTCATCGTCATCAAACACATCTCGAAAATAAGTGTGTCGAAAAGTCGAGAATTTTTATTCAAAAAAATTTTTAAGACTGCATACTTTTTACGACGTAAGTAGTTCAGAAAACAAAGAAATAACGATTTGCGCAGATGGTAGCAACATATAATTTACCAACAAAACACATTTCCCATTACAAACAATTATTAGTGGCTGGCTCGAAGTGGCTGTAGTCATTGCCTGACTCTAGAACTAATCGGACAAAATGAAATTACAGGTTACGGATCAGAACTTAGTCATTCTATGAAAGCCAGCAGGCATTTACAGCAAACAAAAAAGTGTATTCATCGTTTAAACGATTGTAAAAAGTTTAATATCGCTTCGCATTGCGTTTTAGTATGATGTTGTAATAAAATAGATTTTTTCGTATATTTTCTAAATACAGTTTTATGTGGTTATAAAGTGAACAATGCGAAGACTAGCTATCGCATTTACGGCATGCTGGGTTTCGTGAAACTTTAATAATAGGGATTTGTGCACTTTTTTAAATTTATATTTAGCTAGGCCTAGCTAAGCTACTTTCTTTTCAGCTACGAAAGAAGAAATTGGTCCCACTAGAGACCACATATAAAAAATTATATCTGTTTGTTCACAACCTTTCAAGTTGTATAATGATACACTAAACTGCTTTAAAAGAAATATGCTACTATGGCCAAGAAATCTATTCTATTTAAGAATTTTTCAAGAATCTATTTGCATATTTAGAACGCCAACATTACCGATTTGTGAAAGACAATTTCCTTTGGTCAAGATGTCCAGTGGCAGTGCTACATAATCGATAATATTGTCGTGATATATAACACGGTAACAGGAACAATGTCGGTTATGTGTTTGCATTATCTTTGAGATTATTTGCCTACCATACTTTCTACCGGGGTTAGAGAAAAATGATTTTGCATTAAAACTATACTCGTTTTATGTTTTCATCGAAAGTTATACTACAGTAACACACAAGCTCATTTACGCAAAGTTTTACATGTTGAGTAAATTTATACTTACTTATTTTTTATATTTCGCACCTTTGGTAAGGTTAAAAAAACAAGGCGAATTAAAATGTCGCTTCATAGATAGAAACAAACACTCCTATTAAATTTAACTTAATATAACAGAAGGGTATAATGTAAGCATAATTTTACGACATTTTTGAAAAAATAATAATTCAAAATGGCTCTCCTGTAAATTTACAAAAAAAATTGAATAATACTTTTGTCTTATCGAAGGTGCTATATATTCATACGGACAGATAATCACAAATAGTTTACGCAGCAAAAACATAAATTGACATGAATCATGAATCTAATCGTGAAA